ATGACCACGAAGGGTTTGCTTGTTTGTTTGTTTGTTTGTTTTGCATATTTTAGCAAGAATCAGGTCTATAATGTATGCTTTGATCAAGGCCTTAATGATTTTTGTGCTTTTATATTACAAAATAAAATCTCATCCAGCTATTAAAGACACAAAGGAAAGGCTTTGGATAAGTAACACTTACTAAAATAAATTAAGACAGCAACTTAAATTATAAAGCATGTCAACACAGGTAAGTTTAAACAAAATGAAAAGGAAGTGAGAAGATTGACTACAATAAAGGTTAATGTATGTTAAACTCTTTTGTTTGTACCAGATTTGAAGGGCAAATTTCTCCAAGATTGAAATGTTAGAGAGGGTTAATTTTTGCTAATGAGCCAAGAAATTATGCTTATAGAATTAATCAAAGCCAATACATTTTTTATTGTATATAATATTGGAATCTAAAAATAAACAATCATTACACTTTTTTATAATGTATTCAAAAAGTTATTTTTTTTAATCCACCAAATTGATCAGCTAAAACTGTGCATATGCAATATTTTTGAGACTAAGTGGGATGTGTAAGTTTTATTTGTATTTTTGATAGAAACAAAAAAAGCTTAGCAGTGAAAGTTATCAAGTGTCTTCTGTCTTCTACCGACTGTGTGTTGGATTTGAAGCCTGAAGTGACGGTGCGTGTGCATCTCGTGCTGCTGCAGATCTTTATTTCCCCGCTCCACGCTGGCAGCGCCTGTCGTTAGGCAAAGCTCCAAGCCATTTCCCCTCGATGCATCTCGACTGAATCAATAGGGCCCCTCGCAGCGTATCATTAGACATAAGTATTATAATTACTTGTGTTATTAATTTTGCCTTAATACCAGGGATAATATGATATGTAATCCAACGCTGTTGAGGGAAGAGAAAATAAGATGATCACAAATGCATCTCTTATGAAAATCAATGCTGAAATGGATATTCCAATAATGCCAAACCACTGCTGCTGTTTTTTCCCTTTCTTTTTACTTCATGCATATCAGCCAATCATTTTCTGCTCTCATCTGGAAAAAAAATATATGAATACACCCAATGTATTTCACATGGCCTCCTAGTCCGAGGCAAAACAATATGGATTTGTGTTCCCTCACAAACAATTTTAATAAAAAGTTATCGATTGGGGATAGAGCAGATAGCCTGTGGGCGCAGAGCACCAGACCCCAGTGGCTCCAGATCATTAATGTCCTCAACTGCTGGCTTCACCGGTGCAAATTTCTTCAATAAGGGGCCGACACACGAGCTTCAGGGTTTGATTTTTTTTAACCAAGGTATAGTTGGCTCGTGGACGAGCTGCAAAATCAGAACACATTTAGCAGAAAGATGTTTGTTGTTGTTTTTTTTATTTCATCAACACACACATTACTTCTATTCTAAACATTCATGGCAAACATCTCCTTCAGAGCAAAGAGCTCAAGCTGCAAACAAAGCAACTAGTCAATGCACAGTGTGGTGATAAGTTCACAAGAACACTGTCTTTTGAACTGCTTTATGTCAAACAGGGAAAATTTGTGTTGCTTCGGGATCTACATCCTAAGAAGAAGCACTTGCATTCCCATTTCTGAGCAGGTAGAAAAACCTTGCTTCTCTGAGACGGCTTTAATTACCAGCTACTTTCTGTGTGCTTACGATTTCAATTTTTCCCTGCAAAGCCGTTAATGATATTCAAAACGCCTGCTGGCTACTCCGACTCCTTATTCTCCCCTTTTCTTTCCTTCCCACTGAAATGTGAATACTTAAGTTTATGGGCTTATTTGTCCTACAGTCACTTTGTTAAATCTTTTTTCTCTCTCTCTCCTCTGCCCAACACGACTTTTTAAACACAAGCCTCCCTGGAAGGGATGGTAATAAAGGGTTTTTGGGTAGAAGGTTTGGTAGGGATCAATGTGGAATATATTAGCCTGCGCTGCCGAGACCGACTTCAATAATAAAAGAATTGATCCTGTGAAGTGAAGCTTTATTTTGAGCGCTGGCATGGTAAAGGAAAAGGAGGATGGTCCATTCCAATGCTACGCAGACCAGATGGAGAATCACAGCAGGCTTTTTCACCCTCCCCCAAATTTTTCACATTGCATTTTCAATCCGGCATTAGATGCAATCACACAATTACTGAGGGATTTCTGTTGAAGCAAACAAGAGACAAAGGAGTATGTCCAATAATGCAGCATATGGAAAAACATATTCAGCTGGCAGTACTTTTAACTGCCAAATGCAAGAATGTGGGAAATCGCTGAAGAAAAAGAGATGAAAATAAATGAAACAGATTTTTTAAAAACACATAAAGATTACTGGAAGGTATTAAGTGTGATATCTAAAGCTCCTTGTGTGTTTAGTTAAACTTGGACTAATTTCCCTTTGAATTTCATGTTTTCAAAACAGAAGCCACTAATATTTCCATTAGTCGCCGGACACATCTTATCCCAGCAGTGTCTCTGCACGCAGCCGTCGGTTTGTGAAGTGCAGGCGGTAATCAAGCGTGAGGGCTGGATATATAACGAGCACACTTCACAGTATGCCTAACAAGCACACTTCACACACTAATCAGCTCAAGTAGACTTGCACTGCAGCCGCATCTCCACATTTGTTTTCCTCCAGGCTTAGATCATGAAAACTGCCTGTATGGTATCAATAGATTTGGCCATCACTGACTTAACTAAGAGCACACTGAGATGTTGCATGGAGGATTCCTAAGGTGATTAAAATAAAGTGCCGAATGCGAGGAGGAGGTTAGGAGAAACAAGAGAGATAAACATACACACACTCCCTGCATGTATTGATCTTCCTGCAGGATGCTTGAGTCAAAATAATGCACCCGATTTGGCCTTAGTCTCAAATTTAGGGCCATAAATAGTCTTTTTTGTAGTATGTCTGGGGTTATTGTTCTTATAACAAGAGAAAAATGAAAATCCATCTGAAAACTGGTGATATCTTATTTATCTTATTTAGGTAAAAAGGTTTTCAGCTCATGTAAAGCCAACAGGTCAAAGTCCAGACTCATTTCACATTAAAACACAAACAATCTTAACATAAAGGAGTAAACTAAAACTGCTATGTAGAAGTCAAACATAACATTTAAAAGTTATATTTGATTCTAAATAAATCAGATGTAACAAACTAAGAAATTGAATATAACTTTAACAAATCAAAGTAATATTTGGATAAAATAATTAGATATAACAATGATCAAATGTAGCACTCTGGTGTGACATAAAAAAAATTAAAGAAACATAAAGATTGCAAAATAAATAGCATAAATGAAATCAAGCTTTGATGTAACAAGAATGCATTAATGCTAAATTTACATAGAAAGAATATAAAAAACACAGTTTAAATATGTGCTTTAAAACTACACAAACAAACATATCAATATAATAAATAATAAATAAAATATAACTGTAAGAAAATATATAAAAGTAATGATTTCTAAGAACTATTCAGTATCTTACACTCAGCAAGTCAAAGATTATATGGCTGTCAGAGAAGGAGATAAAGATAAAATAATCAAATGTATCATAAAAGTAGAATAAACACTGAGACACTAAGTGCAGCACAAAAGTGGTCAGAATGAAAATTTGAGTCAAATAAAAACACAAAAAAACATGAACAAACAAGCACGCAAAGACAAAAGTTGAAAAAAATTATCTCAAATAAAACAGAAATAAAACTCAGCAAATGTAATCAAAGATTTGTATATCATCTATATTTGATTGATTTAAGTATTTGACAT